TTATGTTGTTTGTACATCTACGTCGTTGAGCAGCATCGTTGCTCTTCTGATTGTTTTTTCTTCCACTTTGTTGCGCATGCTGGCGTCTCACGTCAAACGTGAAGATTGGCACAACTGCTGGGAAAATATTCTATGTGCATTGTTTTAGGCCCTTTTCAAAAAGGAATCAAGGCAAAAAGGAAAAGCGCCACCAATCCGCCTCAGTGGATTCACATTCCGCTCCTGTGTTTTTTGTCTGGTTTGTTTTCTTAGTCGTTGCTTCTTTGTTGCCGCATTTACCCTGTTTGCTCCCTTCCAGCTTGGATTGAATATCTTTATGTCCTTCTTCATGTGTATCTTTTTATATGTGTGTCGTTTCATGTTTCTTGTGTCACTTCCCTGTCCTCCGTGTTCCCCTCCATCTTTTTTGAGTGTGCTTGCGTGGCACGGAACACATGACGCTGGGCAGACTTGCTGTAACATATTTTATTTGCATTGTGTTGGGCCCCTTTCAGGAAGGAACCATACCAAAAAAGAAGGCGCCAGCAATCTCAGTGAATTCATATTACGCTCCTTTCCTCTCATTGTTTCTTGTCTTGCTGTCTAGATAACCATGTTTCAAGAATGTATTGCGCTATAGTAGCACGGCCAGAATCTTCGAAGTGCGTTTGTTGACAGACCATGAAACTAGTGAGGCCAGCTTCCACCAACCGAAATTGATCGAAATTGGTAACACGGTCACCTTCCTCTTTCCCAGGACCATCAAGGTCTGAAGGTCTGAATCCAGGAGAATGTGGTTTGCACATGTTTGCTCTGGTTGGGTCTTGAGCGCAAACATTCAGTTCCAGGCTGATCTCAATTGGGGAAGCACGAACGCCTTGTCAAGATTGCCAGAGGAAATGGTGCGGAGACCCTTCATAACAAGAATCATGACCTCTCGATTCTGCCGATTCATGCAACCCATTGGAAAGAGTGATTGAGCAAAGCTGGTTCTGGGCCAAGGGTACAGTTAACAAGGGTCTTAGATATCTAAAAATCAAGAGGGTCGTATGAGAACAGATGAAGCAGCAGAGGGTGCAGAGTGTCGCACACAAAGCGCCTCGTGGCATGCCCAGAACATCACCTGCCGTGTGAGTGGTGCAGCTCAGCTTACAATTTGAACGCGACAGCTTTTTGGGTGTAGAATAGTTTTTTGGTATTTTTTGCCTCAGGTTTTAGATTTTTTTTTGGCTTTCTTTCCTGGTACCATTTGCCTTGTATTTGCAACAGTTTGGAACTAGAACGTGTCATTTTGCATGGTATTTGCTACATTTTGGCATGGTCACTTTGCATTTTGCATGGTAATTGCTACATTTGGCCATTTCTTTAGGCTTCCATTTCGCGTGTCATTTAAGGTTTCATTTAGGGTTTCATTTAGGGTTTTATTTAGGGCTTCATTTGGGGTTTTATTTAGGGTTTCATTTAGGGTTTCATTCAGGGTTTCTTTACGGTTTCATTTCGGGTTTCATTTCAGGTTTCTTTACGGTTTCATTTAGGGTTTCTTTAGGGTTAGGGTTTCTTTAGAGTCTTTAGAGTTTCATTTTGGGTTTTATCCGGTTTCATGTAGGGTCTCTTATCGGGACTTCTTATCAGGAGTTCTAAACGTTCAAATGGGTTTCTTCAGGGTTTCTTTAGGGTTTCGTTTAGGGTTTCATTTAGGGCTTCATTTAGGGTTTCATTTAGGGTTTCAGTTTGGGTTTCATTTAGGGTCTCATTTAAGGTTTCTTTAGGGTTTCATTCAGAGTTTTTTTAGGGTTTCTCTAGGGTTTCATTTAGGGTTTCATTTAGGGTTGCTATAGGGTTTCATTTAAGGTTTCTTTAGGGTTTCAATTTAAGATTTCATTCAGGAGTTCATTTAAGTTTTCTTTGGGGTTTCATTCCAGGGTTTCGTGTCACGATTTCTAAACGTTCAAGTGGGTTCCTTTAGGGTTCCTTGATGGTTTCATTTAGGGTGTCATTTAGGGTCTCTTAGGGTTTCTTAGGGTTTCTTGAGGGTTTCATTTAGGGTTTCTTTAGTGTTTCATTTAGGGTTTCAATTTAGGGTGTCATTTAAGGTTTCATTTAGGGTTTCTTTAGGGTGTCAATTTAGGGTTTCAGCTAAGGCGTCAGTTAAGGTTTCATTTAGTTTTTTTCAGAGTGTTGTTTAGGGTTTCTTTGGGATGACATTTAGGGTGTCATTTAAAGGTTCTTTAGGGTTTCATTTATGGTTTCTTTAGGGTTCATTTGGGGCTTCATGTAGGGTTTCTTATCAGGATTTCTTTAGGGTTTCTTTGGGTTTCACCTAGGGCCTAGGGTCTCTTTAGGGTTTCATTTAGGATACAAACAGAACAGAATAAAGCAAAAGAAAATGAAAAACAAAGAGACAGTAAAGACAGGAAGCAAAGAAGCAAAGGAGCAGGAAGTAGAGCAGCAAAAACACATGACTGAAGAAAAGGAAAAGTAGAATAGTAGAAGTAGAAGTAGAAAGGCACAGAAGTACAAAAGCAGAGCAGCAGGGAAAACAGAGAAGCAGAAAAGCAAAGAAACAGGAAAACCAAAAAGCAGGAAAAGCAAAAAGCAGAAAAGCAGAGAAACAGGAAAAGCAGAGAAGCAGGGAAAGCAAAAAGCAGAAAAGCAGAGAAGCAGAAAAGCAGAGAAGCGGGAAAAGCAGAGAAGCAATGTAAGCAGAGAAGAAGAAAAGCAGAAAATCAGAGAAACAGGAAAGCATAGAACCAGGAACCCAAAAAAAAAAACCTGCCGCGAAAAAAAAATAAACACAAAAATAAATAGCTTCCCAACTTTTTTGACCCTCTCAATCCTTTCATGCAGTCTGTTCTCAAAAAACGCAGGGAACATCAGCGAGCGAGCGAGCGAGCTAAGCATTCGAAATCATTCGAACTTCGTCCCTCGCATTTACCACATGCCAGGAGCGCAGCAAGCGCAGCAAGCGCAGTCACACTCAAGCTACGACCTCGCTGGCGTTTCGGTTTTTCAATAACGACAATGCTGACGACCAGCTTCCCGACATAGATCAGGCAGAGGAATGAGGAAGATGGTTTTTTCGACGTCCCAACACTCTGAATCTTTCAGGGTGATCCACCGTGTTTCCAAACTCTTGCCTCCTTGCCAGAAGAGATCCGTGCGATGTGAATTGCGGCTTATACTTGACAATGACAGAGACAAACCTCTATTTTCAACTTTGTCAACCTTTCTGTGCCTCAGGCTGTGGCGAATGCACCTAGCCATCTCGCTGAACTTGGCCCAGCTGGTTTAAGAAAATTTAAAAAGAATTTGAGCACAAAATACCTGCAAGGGGGATTCCTTCTCAAACGTCCCATGTTTGTGCGGAGCAGATTGGGAAAATTCGGTTGGGTTTCTGACAGAAGCCTGAGCAATGGTACAAGCTGCAGGAAGTTCAGTAGGTTCACTCTCTTTGGGGTTATTTGTCCAATATGAAATGAAGCAAAACCAACAGAACTATACAGAACTAGGGTTTCATCCATCAATGTGCCCAGGATGATGCTTGTGACATTCTGTGACCCTGTTTCATAGCCCTGTCATTTTCCCCAGCTGCGACCCTGGTTGGCTTTGCCCTTTAGCTTAGCTAAGGCTGTCAACACCACTTTGAGTCAGTTCCTCAGCCAAATACCGCAAGTCTTCAGCGACGAGATTTCTTCTTTGTGCGGTATGACTCGCTTGATCTGGAGTAGCTCAAAGTATTATCCTTGTGGATAGTTATTCCTGGGATGTTCTTTTCCACCCATGATTTGAATTTGCCTCTGTGGAGCCATCTGAAGCGGACCCCAAAAGGCGTTTTGCTGCTGTCATTGTTCGCAGCGACTGCTGCAAGAGAGCCGATGCTATAAGGGCGCGAGGCAATGTCCGACTCCAAAGCACGTATCATGTCATCAACCAACTTTTTCGTCGCATCCTTGCCAGCAGAAGTGCTGTTGCCCTCTTTCTTTTTGGGGTTACCAACGGCCGCATGCTTGTCTCTCTTCTTTTTGCCACTGCTAACTGTCCTCTCCTCCCCGCCAAGCTTCAAACGCAAGGCCAACATAGCGTAGAGGAGTTGCTTCGCCATGTTCTCATTGTCCGCATGCACCGTCAGTTCCATCTGGAGCTCATTGACTCTCATGACCCATTGGCCGCAATGATGATGAATGACCACATCATCGCTGCGCAGGAGCCTGCGAAGGCGTTGCTGTAGAAGGTAGCTGGCCAGAGTGAAGAAGTCAGCGGGTTGGAAATTGCTGGCCTCAACGATCTCACAAACAAAACGCAAGTAAAATGAATGTTGCTTCGTTCGGCTGTGGGGAAGATTCGAGGCATGCCCTTAAAGAGTCTTCCTTCACTCGATGTCTTTTCAAACAGGACTTTCTGTGGGCCCCCAAGGCAGATACTGCTATGATTTCCCTGCTTTGGGCAACCCCCACATAGCTTTGGTGTCTTGCAAACCTTTCTTGGACCGGCCCAGCAACGTTCACCACATTTTGAAGTTCTGAGTTGATCTTAGATGAGGGCAACAAAGGGATCGGCCAATATGGCGGAATCTGTGGAACCTGTCGAGGCCGGTCGCTCATCTCGTGGTTGCCTGGGCCGGCACGGTCAGCGCCTTCCAGGATCGCCTGATCACCTGCATCAGCCCCCTGAGGTTCTGTGCGCACTTCATTGGACCGCTCCACAGGGTCTCCACAAATCTGACCTGAGCAAAGAATCATAGATTTGAAACCATCATTTCTGCTTGACCTTGTATCCTCAAACCAAAACTGACCAAATTTCAGAAAATCCATGATTCCTTCCTGTCTCATCCTGTCCTGCCTCAAATCCGTTCAGAAGTTTGTCCAACAACCTTCGAGTTAGTTTTCATGCGACTCCATTACCTACCAAGCCACGAATCAGCGAGTTGACTTTGTCTTGCAAGTCTGCACAGTCAGATGCGCCATTGGCCAAATCTTGATCATCTTCAGTCTCTGTGCCCGATGCCTCGACCACTGCCACAAGCAGAAGCAACAGCACCACCAGCGGTAGTCATCGGCAGACATCACGCATCATCCATCTTCATCCATCTTCATCCATCTTCATCCATCTTCATCCATATTGATCCATGTTCATCCATCTTCATCCATCTTCATCCATCTTCATCCATTTTCATCCATCTTCATCCATCTTCGTCCATCTTCATCCATCTTCATCCATCTTCATGCATCTTCATCCATCTTCATCCATGTTCGTCCATCTTCGTCCATCTTCATCCATATTGATCCATGTTCATCCATCTTCATCCATCTTCAGCCATGTTCATCCATTTTCATCCATCTTCATCCATCTTCATCCATCTTCATCCATCTTCATCCATCTTCATCCATCTTCGTCCATCTTCACCCTTGTTCATCCATCTTCATCCATCTTCATCCATCTTCATCCATCTTCATCCATCTTCATCCATCTTCATCCATGTTCATCCATCTTCATCCATCTTCATCCATCTTCATCCATCTTCATCCATATTGATCCATGTTCATCCATCTTCATCCATCTTCATCCATCTTCATCCATCTTCATCCATGCTCGTCCATCTTCATGCATCTTCATCCATCTTCATGAGAATATGTTTGTTTTGCTCATCGTCGTCATCGTCGTCATCGTCGTTGTCCTCGTCGTCACCATCATCATCATAATCATCATCATCATCATCACCACTTGAGAGGAATGGGGTGGGCGAAAGGTAGATTCTGCTTGATCAGGGAGATTGAACCCTGGAAAAATATGGGCATTTTTTCTTCATTCGAGCATCAAAAAAAGGAGGGAAGTCTCGGCTATGTATGCGATGGCTGGTGGTTTTCTCCGAAGAGTTGTTGAAAGAACATATCTTTGGTCGGGGCCTGCTACACAACTTAAAGTCATCCAATGCTGCCTCACCTGCCTCTTTTGGCAGAAAAATGACAATCATAGTGACAATTTTGGAGTGTTCTTGCATCTTTGCAAAACATGGCTGTCCTAGTGTTTTTTTAGCTGGGGATGATCAGGATGATGATGGTGGTGATGATGGTGGTGGTGATGATGATGATGATGGTGGTGGTGGTGGTGGTGACCATGGCGATGGCGATGACGATGACGATGACGATGGCTGCTATGACTATTACGATGGTGAAGAAGAAGATGATTATTATTATTATTATTATGACGATGACAATGACGATGAGGATGAGGATGATGACGACGACGATGATGATGATGATGGTGATGGTGATGGTGATGGTGATGATGATGATGATGATGATGATGATGATGATGGTGATGGTGATGGTGATGATGATGGTGGTGATGATGATGATGATGGAGATGGTGATGGTAATGAAAGTGACGATGAAAGTGACAATGAAAATGGAGATGAATATTATTGAAAACAAGGAGGAAGATGAAGACGAAAATGATGGCGTAAAGCAGGATGAAAAATAAGGATGAAAATGGAGATGAATATGCGTCATGAGCATGGAAATGAGTGGAAAATGAGGAGGAAAATGAGGAGGATAATGATGAGGAAAAAGAGGAGGAAATGAGGAGGAACATGAGGGGGAAAATGAGGAGGAGGGACTAGGATGATGTGATGATGATGATCATGATGAGGATATGCATGAAAATGAGGAGGAAAAGGCTGAGGATGGGGACTAGGATGAAGACAGGGAAGATGACAAGGATCATGACAAGGATAATGACGAGGATGAGGAGGAAACCACTGTAATATTTCTAGGGGAGACCCGTGCTAACAAATGTCTCCGTGGCAAGGTTCGATACAGATCTCTGCTGAGGAAAAGTCAACCAATCGATTCACTGCGCCAATGTCCAGAGTGCCAAATCATCCAAAACAATGTACTATATCTCAGACGCAGGTTTGGAAATAAGTCTGCACACCTACATGTACCGAAATTTGCGCTCACCCAGAAACCTTTGGTGGGCATAAATTCTCTGGCCTTTCCCAAGGCGTGCGAAAAAGAAGACGAAATCATGAAGGAGTCTCATGCTGAGTTCATGCACTAAAGTCACCACAACTCTGGATGGAAACCATGTATTAAATATGTCACATGTCTCTGCAGGGCACATTGGAATTGCCGGCACAATTCTGCCCACCACGGCAAGAAAAGCAATGCTACATTCTACTCCCGTCACTGACTACACGACTACACCCACCAAAAAGGAAACCCCTGGCATGACCACATGCAAACCCTTCTACCTACATCGAGAGACCAGAGAAAGTCCCCTATCTATATGCGAAACATTGCGAAACCACCTCACCAGAATCCTACTTTGGATAACCAAAACTTCTAAAACGAAGACTTCAAAAATCAGGGATTGGAGGCAGACCCAGCCGCAAGTACTAAAATACATTGAACTCAGGTAGCCTAGGCTACCTTTCGTGATCATCATCACCATCATCATCATCGTCATCGTCATCATCATCATCACCACCGTCACCATCACAACTACCACCAGCAGCAGCAGCAGCAAGAACAACATCATCGTTGTCTTCACCATCACCACTGTCATGACTTTAACTTGAGGCTCAGGGGTAAGGGGCGAAAGCTAGCTTGACAAGGAGCTTTGCATGAAGACACAAAATGACGCCGAGGTCCCCGAGGGGGATCGAGACACGGCCAAACTGCTTTTGAACCAGCCACCCGGGGGGGGAGGCGGGGTAGGTAATTCATGCGATGGAGATTCCAGCGCCCCCCAATACTTTGCTAAAGCAAGAGGTGCTTCAGCTGGCAGAAGCTAGCTTTCGTGATCAAGAAAAATGTCTTTGAATACACCAACCCCTGCAATTGACACCGATTTCCTACATCCATATGAACTGGTATCCAATTGCCGTCCAACAGCTCAATGTTTAATCAAACTCTTGGTGAAATTATGGCAGCATGTGTTAGCAATGTAATGTTTCCCAGACTTTGTGTTGTCAAGAGTCCTCATCGGAATCGGTATCATCCTCCAAACCAGCACGTGGAAGGCTGTCCAGGTAGGCTGTCGGCTCTGTGTCCTGGTCAACGGCCATCAGCTAGTCTTTCGCGGCGGCATCAGTGAACTTTGCACCTTCAAATCGGACTTTGTAGTAGGCATCTCCTATCAACTAAAACACTTCAAGTTGTCAAAGTAAAACATCAAACCTGGAGCATCACCATGCAACACTGGCACTTCTCTTTGTCATCAGGGTTTGAACCATGCCAAGAAGTTGCTTCATGGCACTAGGCATTCGTGCTGGGAAGTGGCGCATGGTCTGCCCATTGTGCTGTATGTGCGTACCTGTGCTGAGCGTTTAAAGCTGCATTGCTGAGTCTCAGATCTGAAAGAAATTTCAGTGAGCGCAGAGGCAGCGTTCATATTTTGAAATCGGTTCATCCCGAGATTTACTATCCTAGACGTGCTGGAGGAATTCAAGTTCAGTGTCCCCGTAGCCGCAATGATTTTTCCTCCTCACCACTGTCATGCCTTGAGCCCTGCTTGTTGGCCCATCCTGTGCTTCACCACTTCACCACCCAAATCCTTCTGCTTAAGTTGGATAAGTTGGTTTGGGAAAACTAGATGGGCGACGGATACAGAATGATATTGAAGCATAGTGAAGCACTGTCTGCTGTCAATTCCTTTCACTTTGATTTCAAAAGCTGAACCTGCAACCGCTCTTCGGTTGCGGATGGGAGGCGGGCCGCGCTGGCCACAATGTGAAACTGGAATTTGTGGAGCAAGTGGAAACTCAGGAAAATCATGGAAAATCAATGCAATTAAGATCTCGTTCCTTTTGTGGTGCCAGGCTTATGAGGTCTCGACTGGCGGGACACCTTTGCACTGTCTGGTCACCGTCTGGTCGGGGCGACTGGTTCTTGATTTTTTCAGTGATTTCTTGGGCGGTTAAAAGAACACACAGCTCTCCTTCGCTCCTCGTTTTGGAGGTCGGCTGTCCGAAGGAATGCTTGGTCTTTGACCGATCAATCGGCACCACTTCCCTCCTTCTACACACAATCATCCAAGCTGCACTGTATACATACGAAAAAAGCACATATGATACTGTATAAGTCTGTATAATGTGGTTAATATTATTATATATAAATGAACAACAGTCTCGGAAGGTTGTAACATTGTAAGCTCCAGGTGGTGAGCATCTGCTTTTGTAATGCATGTTTTTCAAGCACATGCACCGCACTAGGCACCTTTTATTCCGCTTGAACCCAACTTTAGAAGCCAACAGCATGAAGCACCACACACAGTCCTATGCTCCTTGGGCCTTTCACCACAAGTTTTCAACCCCTTTGTCAAAGCTGGACCCAACCAACATTCAAAGGGACATACAAACCCATATAAACCTCTGCAAGACATACGTCATCCTACGTGCCCCCTAAACTTTTCAATGTTCGTGCTCTTGTGTTGTTCGTGCAACAAACCGTTTATCAATTCGGACACATTTTACATTTGTCCTCAGGGACAAGCCGTTTAACAACAGGGATATAGAATTTATCATCAGGGACATGCCAGTAAACAACTGAGACACTGCAGTTTCCATCAGGGACAGGCGGTTCAAAACCTGAGACACTGCATTTACCATCAGGGAGAGGCCGACACAACATTGACCATCAGGGACCTGAACCATAGCAGGAGATTGAAACCAACAGTCTTTGCTGTTGGGAACAAAAGAGACTCAGATAATTCACAAGATTGACTAATGCTGTCAAGGTATATGTAAAACTGTATATAAACCCGTTGAAATACATGTTGACCATCGGCGCCTACATGCCCGCCTGCCAATAGTAGGTGATTACATAAGGAAAGGCAGAAATTACAGTGGCCGACTGGTAACAACTGCATTGTGGCGATCCCCTATTGTAGTTTGAAACTGTTTGCGGTTCTTCCGAGCAAGTCCCAATGAATGCCGACAAGGCATCTCTAAAGAAATGCAGAACCAAGTCAATTGCCTCTCATTTTCCTGCAGTCTTCCCCTGAAATTTGTACTTTTCTGACCTTTGGGCATCACGATTCAGGGTTGGTCTGTTGATCATCAGCTGCTTGGATGCTTTCATGGTGCATCTTGGCGGGAACTACCAACCTGCTGCCATGGAACCCAACCTGAGGTTGATAGGAATGGGAGCACACTGAAACTGGACCTGTTTGTTGAGTCTTTACAAAATCTGATACAACATGAAAAAATGCAATATGCTACGATGATATAATATGAAGTAATGCAATATACAGTAGTATTAATGATTGATTGCTATAACATGGTTAAAAAAAATGTCTATATGGATATTTTATTATATAAATACATCTTTAGATATGATGTATTCTCGCGTAAACCATTCTTCTCGTCGATCCAGGGATTGCGCCCCCGCAATCGCAGAAAGGTCCTCTGCGTCAGGCAGCTTCTGAACTTGAGCGTTTGCACACAGCATGCAGCAGCCTGGCACAGTATGTCTTACAAGCAGCAATGTCAGCAAACCAAGGTTGTCAAAGGGAACTTAGTATATCTTAGTATAACTTAGTTATGTTCGCAAACTTCCGACTTACGGACGAAAGTCCATCATCTTCCAGCTATATACATCAAGCTACCCCTTCTGAGCCCCTTCTCCATCCTCCATCCTTCTCGGCCTGGTGAGTTGAGAGTTGTAGTATTTGAAGTTTGGCAGCTCCGGAGTGCCTTTCCGACCTTCCCAGGCCTTGGATGCTCAGCCCTGACCCTGAAAACTGAAAACTCTGATGTGCTCCTGACTCCTAGCGCACATGTATAATCTTATAATGGCTGAAACATTGTAGAATTCTAGAATATTGCGAAAAGCATCGAAAAGCATCGAAAAGCAACCAACTGCAAACCTTAGATCTGGGCCTGAAAGTCTGTGACACTCGTCCAGGTTGGAACGTCAAAGATGCTGACATTCGGCAACCTGAAGGGACCCACAGTCTACTGAGCCAACCATGTGACCTAGGGAAGGGTAGCCAAGCCCAAGTAACGAGTATCTCTTGCATGGTGATCTCTTGCATGGTGGTTTCATAAGCTTCAAGAATCGAGAACAAACTGGGACTACGACCAGTGTGCTAAGACTGGAATTCACAAAGATTACCAAAGAGCTCTTGGATTGAATACCCAAACTAAAATCGCTAGCTAGGATTTCCAGTTTGGTCCCAGCATGCAAGAAAACTTCCCTCAATGCAGAGCAAGAGACGGAAAGGCAACGTGTTCTGGTCCATCAGTGAAGGACCAGTCGTTCTCTCCTGCTTTGGCCTGGGTACCATCTATGTAAAAGAATGAAACAATTATATAGAGAACAAGAAACAACAAGAAATGGTTGAATCAACTCAATCATGTTGATTCATGTTGTATCCTTCAAGGACGCAGAGCTTGAAGTGTCTGACGGGAAAGTGCAAGCATGTGGGATTGGAAAGCAATCTTATTCATGTTCCTCGAGAAATCAGCTTTCCCTGGAACATTCGATTGTCTTCACATCATTGACATTCTGTCATTCCGGCTGGCAAAAGTACCGCTGACATGTTTGCCCCAGGTATGGCCTGAAGACAAGCACACACTTTGTCAATGTACCTCAATGTGGCCACAAACCAAAGGACAAGAACGGCAAGTGCTTGCCCCCAAAACTGGTATGCGATACATAGTACCTCGAAGTCTTGTGGAGTTGAAATGGTTGCGAGAGCTCCAACTCTATGGAAATGGAAACGATGGACTTTGTGATTCTTTCATGTCTTGTTTTGGACCGCCCTTCAGTTGCCTTCCAACGAAAGACTCGTAGCTGCTTCGAGGGTCCTTTCCAACCTGGCAGTTGGAGTATATTATAGATTCAGAGGGCTGAAAACCAAAACTGTGCAGAGACTGGTCCTCTCTCAGGAGGTTTCATCGAGAGTAAAAGATGGAGTCAGTTCACTCAAATGGACATGATAGGGCACCGTTTGGTAAAGCAACAAACACATTCAGGATTCTTCAACTGACTAAGACCCGCCAGAGTTACACCCGTTTCACATACCGGCACTCTGCCCTCCCAAGCCTCTCCACGGTGATCTTTGCCATAGGCATCTTCTCTCAAGCGATCTTCCCGCAACTGCAGTGCAACGTCTGGGCTTGTGTGACTTGATAGTGTCGTGCACTTGCTGCCCAATCCTCATAATCTCCTGTGCCTGTGTGGGTTAATGTTTGAAAACCAACAAAGGCAAATCTGGAAACTCATCAAAACTGAGGGCTGATTCGCATCCCTTCAAACCCACCCATGCTTGGATGCCTATTGAACAGTCTCTTTTTTGATGTGCTGTATAGATGCTCAACATATATGGTCTGGGACCGAACAACCATGGCATCAATTGCATCGATCGCCCGGAACCATCATCCTCGCCCACCTTGAGGAGCTTCGTTACACCGATGACCACTGTGTACCTTGATTTCCCCAAAGCCCCAAACCGGAAAAAAAACCTATATAAGGAAAATATGAAAATAAGAAAAGTCAAGGAAGGTCGAAGGAGTCGAAGGAGTCGAAGGAGTCGAAGGAGTCGAAGGAGTCGAAGGAGTCGAAGGAGTCGAAGGAGTCGAAGGAGTCGAAGGAGTCGAAGGAGTCGAAGGTCGGATCCTGGCACCCGTCAGCTTGGGCCACCCTGCTGGCTACGCTTCAGCACCTCAACAGACATCAGAAAACATCAGAAAACATCTGAAACATTCTGAAACATTCTGAAACTGTCAAGGCCGTGACGCATGACATCGCGTTGAAGACATTGATTTTGTGCACCATCCCACCAAGAAAAGTCATGAAAAGTCTGTGTCGAACAAATGACGAGGTTCAGGTTCAGAGGTCTCATTGGAGATTGTGATGCCAAAGAGGTAGATCAAGTGTGCTCAATCACAAATTCACATGAATCGACATGAATCGACATGATCATAAGAAAATAGTAGAAAAATGTAGAAAATAGCCGGACCATGCCGGACCCATTGAAACTCAGGCGAGAACGGCCAGCAAGCGGGCCAAGTCTCGGCAACGCTGCGGTTCCTGCGACAAGACTCATGAGCGACCTTGAACTGAAAGAATCATTCTGTACCACTAAGATCCACTAAGTCACTAAGAAATACTGAAAGATACTGAAAGATAGAGTGTTGAACATTGTTGAACTATGACTATGTCAAACAAGATCTCGATCAAAACACATTCACAGCAACTGTGCAGGACACCTCCCAAAGTGCAGGTGACGTTGCATCTATGATGAACAGGACAGCATAGTGCGGCTGGTTTCCACCTCGACCCCATCGCCAAGACATGATTTCTTAGACTGGAAATGAAACATCAACATCATTGAAAGTTCTTGGGGTCCTTGCTGTTTCAGCACTTCCAGTGATCTTCACATTCTTGCAGGAACATTGAGGTTGACTCTGTCATTTGCGAAATGTGACACAATAATAATAATATATAATAATTACATATAATGTAATATCATATAATTACTGTACACAATTCCATGTCTGGACCCTCTGCCAAGCGGCTGCGGAGGATGATTCTCATCCACGAAGGGACTGCGCTGTAATGCCTTGGGACGATTTCGATCGATTTCGGCAGTTCCGACTGCTTCATTGGGTGCAAACACATGCGATAAGGATGCCTCGTGCTCGCATGAACCTGTACACAATTGTTTTCATGATGGTTGACATTATTTCACACCGGGTTGGTTTTGTCTTGGTGAAAACTGTCCTAGCTAGGCATTAGATTTTCCATCCCTGCAGGTCCCCTAGTATTCGTTACCTTTCGGACTGGACTGAATGGAATCAAAAATGCACAGCCAGATACAGCCAGTCTACATTTCGACAGAACTGGCCATGCTTCGATGCCCAGGGCTGCGGCAGGTTGCTATTGGGGCTAGTCTTGGCACAGAGCGGATGCTCCTCACGTGGATTGGGACCGCAGGGCCTCGGAAGCGCCAATGAAACAAAATGCCATGTTGATCCATGTTGTTTGATGTTGTTTGAGTAGACCCTGCAATGACAGTTCCAAGGACTTGCACACTGTGCTGGTAGAATCAAGAAGGACTTTGATGTAATTGATCCGTAAGCTCTGCTATACTGTCAACAGTAACAGGCAAATGGCAGAGGCAAGCCAGTCACAGAGATGCACAACATACAGCAGCTATCTGTAAAACTTGACTCTGTGGACTCTTTGGTTGACCGTGGTACAGTACGCCCTTGAGGACACAGCGGAGTATCCGTCAGAACGACCCTGCGGCTGAACTCTGACACATTTGAAGCACAGCACTTACAGGAATGGCCTCAATGTTTAGGCAAACATAGGGAAACCAGGCCAAATTCAGGAGCAGCAACTGCTAGTTTGCTACTAGTACAAAGTGTATTCAAAGTGTTATTTTTGTTCTGTGCATGTGGTGCTACCAAATGGATCTTGCATTATGTTCACCTATCAACCGCTGGGGCTAGGGTGTCAGAACAAGGTTCAAATGAAGTGGCTGCAGTCAGCTTGGCACAGCTTGGCACCTCATCTGTCGAGTTTCTCCTGACATGTAACGGATCTCACCTGAGAAAGGGGCACTGACTGTTGAGAAAGTTGTTGCAGAATTGGCACTTATGAGTTCAGCGCGACTCCCCTCTGGCAGAATACACCCAAAGCTACAGTCCAGAAGTCCACAAATGGCTTTCTCAAAAAGAGCGAAAGAGCTGCAATTTGGTGGCTAAGACATCAACGTTCCGGAAAGTCCCACGAATTGCCATATACCTGCCAGAAGTGGAAAGCCCGGAAACGTCTGCAAGAAAGAACTGTCTGCTTGTGTACTCGAGCAGGGCGATGGAAATCAGTAGCGTGGTTGTTTACGCGGAAAATAGAGAGATGTGACATACGGGGAAAAAAGAGGAAGAAGAAAAAAAACGTGCTTATAAGGTGAAGCTCTCATCAATTCTTCCATAACATGTTGAACTTGAAACACCATTTTATACTGCAAAGCAGTGTTTCCAGGACAGCTTGATCAATCAAAGCGTCTGCTTGTATGTGTTTGTAGCCGTACACTTTTTGTTGGGCGAGCTGCGTTTACCTTTAGATCCACTGCACCGTGGGCATAGGCTGAGTACCCGCACAGGCATCTCCCGCAACTTCTCCTTGTAGTCATAGGAATGAGGATACCTTGGGAGAGATAGAGAGATGATGAGAGATGTATGTACGCAATTCGATATGCACTGCAACGTAGGGTAAGGTAATGTGATGCAATGTGTGTTTGTTTGTGTTTGTTTGTGTACATGTTTTCCTTATGTGTGTCTACGTCGGTGTATGTGTGCCTATGTTTGTCTATGTTTGCATATGTTTGTGTGCGTCTATCTGCGTCTATCTGAGTCTATCTACGTCTATCTATGTCGATCTATGTCTATGAGTCTATCCATGTATGTGTATGTCTATCCACGTCTAGGAATGCATGTGACAATGTGTTGTTAGCCTCCACAAGGACATGTTGTGGAGGGTATATGCAGGGTTCATTCTTGAAGGGGCACCCACCTGGTGTGAGGTGACAACATTCGAAAATAGAACTAGAAAGATTCTGTCAACTTCTCAACCATTCTCAAAGAGTTGCATCCAAATCAAACTTCCGAAGAAATGCAAGAACGAAAGGAGGTCGGAGAAGGTGTTTCAGTCCAGTGCTGTGGTGTGTCAAATGCTGACCCCGCGGCAACTAAGGCATTCGTTTCGTGCGTCGCATCAATCCAAATCCGTGGCAGAATCCATCACTATCACAGTCATTAGATCATGTGCTCCATTTAGTTGAATCGGTTCCCTTCTAACAGACTCACTACAACATGCCCTGTTGCCCGAGAAAACCCTGATCGCCATCAGCCAGAGCACTTCCCATTGAGCACGGCCAACAAGGAGCAAATCAAGGTGGTTTTGCCGGATGACCTGGCGTCCACCCACATTGTGAAGTACATGTCCAAGACCCGTTATACATACACATACACGTACATGCAGTACATCTCGATATACAATATACAATGTACAATATACAGTAAAGAAGATACAAGATACAACATACAAATATTACATATTACATATCACATATTACACATTGCATATTACATATTACATATTACATAGTACATATGTATATTATATACATAACATATACAACATATACAACATATGCCTGCTATATTACTATATATTATAAATTATATACATATACATAATACACAGTATGTATATACAGTATACTGTATACAGTATGTATATACTGTATTTACAGTACAGCATGACCAGACTGGCTAGCTCAATTTGGCAACTTGCACTTGTGGTGGGTTTTTCACACATGTGACCCCTCAAATCCCCTCAATGCTACCTGCTGCGAATTTCTTCCTTTTTGCATGTACTGTAACTCTAGCTTCAGGTGGCAATGCTTCCAGACAAGGAGCTTGATATATAATATAGCTTTATGTACACTTGTGTTGAATCAGTTGCATCACTTATAGAATTGCTCGGGTATGCTTGGGCTTCATATGGCCCAGGCAAACCTCTAAACTTTGCCGGGGTGACTTGCCCCCAAGCAGTGCAACTCCTCAGCGCAATGTGACATGAACATTGAAAGGTGCATTTTTGTTGCACTCCATCCGATCCGGACGTATCCGGAGGTCCTTGATGTCGTTCATTTTCAAATGGAAACCATGAAATGTTCAAGCGATACTCAATTTTATGGGACTTTGATTGTGCGGATTGGCATCAATCGCGTACGGGCAAGCCATCTACCACATCACTTAAACCGACAAGGGCTTACAACATGAAGATGATGGAAGGATAGTGGGATCCTGGATAATAGTGGGATCCTGGATAATGTGCTAGAGACGCATTAACAGTCTTGTGTACTGTGAAAATAGAATGGCAGTGAATTGCAGGCAACCGTGGCAACCACCAAAAGGAACATCAAATTCAGGCAGGTCACAGTGCAGCCAAGAAACCATGCACATCATTCCGGTCATTGATTAAAGGCCTGAAGGAAAATCGGCAGAGCAGAACTGTGAACGCATAAACATGCAAATACGCAAATATGCAAATTGTATCTGCATGAAGCAAGTGGAAAGGTTGCACGTGATGTTTGGTTTGCTTGATCATTCATGTGCAAGTCCTGTCACTTTCCCAAGCAAACGCACTAGACATGCCATGCGGCCATGATTTTCCATACAGCGAACCGAGCATTCATTGGCTCTAGCTTCCGAAACGGCAACTATGAAACAAGTACAGACCCTCCTCTTTGCTCACTCACTTCATGTTCTTGATGGCATCACTGAGCTCTTTGAAGTAGTCATGCTCCTGAGCCGCCTTGCCAGATATCCGTCTGTCCGGCCAATACTGAAGGAATTTGGTCATGAGGTCCATACCCTCAGGTTCCAAAGTAGGTGTTATGGAAGTCCAAGCCTGGGGTTCAAAGACTGGAAAGTCTGGCTTCCAGTCTGGCAATTCGGTGATGGTTGGCCAAGTCTCTGCGGACGGAGTCCCCAAGATCCTAAAGATCTTCTGGAGCTGATTGGCATCAGTGTCTCCAGGGAACAAAGGACGGCCATTCACCATCTCTGCAAAGATACACCCAACTGACCAAATGTCTACTGGGGTGGAGTACTTGCGAGAACCCATCAGCACATCTGGGGCTCTATACCACAAGGTCACCACCTCATGCGTGTAGCTCCTCACAGGAATGCCGAAAGCCCTGGCCAAGCCAAAGTCCGCAAGCTTCAAAGAGCCCTCTCTATTGATAAGTAAATTCTGTGGCTTCAAGTCACGGTGGAGCACTCTATGAGCGTGGCAATATGCTATGCCTCTCAAGAGCTGATAGAGGAATGACTTGGTGGTGGCTGAATCGAGTCCGCCCTCACACATGTCCAAAAGCTTCTTCAGGTCTTGATCCAAGTACTCGAAGACCAGGGTCAACTTTCTCTCGGTGTGGATCACATCACAAAGCCGCACAATGTTGGGATGCTGCAGTTCCTTCAGAAGAGAAATCTCTCTGATTGCTGTGCTAGGAATGCCCTCATCCTCTGCTTCCAACCGGATTGTTTTCAATGCGTAGACTTTGCCTCCTGAATCCTGCGCCTTGTAGACAACACCGTAGGTGCCCTCACCCACCTTCTCGATCTTTTGGTATTGCTCCATGCCCCGCACAGCCCAAGGCTGCAGGTGCAGGGCTGCTTGAAGCAAAACGTCTGCGGAGGCGTGGGAAGCAGTGTGATGCAGTGTGATGCAGTGTGACCAATAGCAGCTGTTCAGATTTCAAAACTAAAAACCCACAACTCTGATACCCATCACAATAATCACAATATCAATTCATATCATAACTATATCTCGTCGGTCTCCTCTCATCAGCACAATGTCAAGACACCTTCACTGCACCTGAACAATCTGCCCCATCTGGACGATCGTCGGTAGCTGGGCTGTCCGGCAGCTCGGGCAGGTGCCGCTCTGTGAGCAGCGAACGACCAGCATCTGCCAGAACCTGCATAGACGAGTCGACGAGGACGTTGAATGAAGAAGTGTTCGGACGGTGTTTCGGACCGTGTTCGGATAGAAATGCTATCTGCTTACCTGGTCTTGCCAACTTGCCAAGTCTTACCTCGAATCTTATGCATCTATAATTGTCTATAATCACCTTACAGTCTATTCCTGATGAATGTTGCGAGCCGAACTTGCAAAACTACCCTTCTAGGCCAAAGCATTGCACTGCTAAGAGCTTTTTCAGGGACAGCCAGCGCGGTCACCCACCGGTTCGCCCAGGCGAATTGGGCTGCTGCGTGGGGCCAATCGATCAGAGTTTCTCTACAGGATGATTCTTTCAGATCTCCGTGATCTCCTTGATTTCCCTGCTCTAGCTTTTAAAGATGTCTTTTTCTCTTTCCAATCACCCTGGAGGAAATCTTTGAGAAACCACAAATACCCTAAGCTCGGTGATAAAATTGATACACAGGATGCGATCATTTGTGGCGTTCTCGTGTATAAGCAAACCTTGCAAAATTTTGGATGCTGCGAAAGATATCTCCTCAACCGACCTTGACCCATCTGCAGTGGGCAAGTGAGGTAGACATGCGCGTGGGGCAGGAACTTGCCATCACTGAGGACTGACTGCCACATCCGGTAGCTAAGCATGTCAGATGGCCATGTCTGTTGACTGTTTCAAGAACGACCTGGCCAAGTTGAGCTCATCGCAGACCGCCTCCCTGTATGGAGGTTGGTGCGATGCGTCTACTCATGCAACCACAATCCCCGGGCGCCTGTCAAGATGGAACTTATTGTCCACCTTCGATCCCTCCAGCGTTGGCCATTATCTATATATTAATATCTAAATATCCATAAATACGTACCGTATATAAACACTGCATAATGTGTACGTGTATGTTTTCTAAATTTATGTTTTCTAAAAATATTCCCAAGCTGACTAAACAATGACATGTTTTCAAATTCTATGACCCTGACCGATGCCAAGGGGTCCAACTTGTACGAAAAGCGTCTTTCTCAGACTTGGAGATGTGCTGTCCCAGTTGGGGGACCACTCGGGAGATACCCCCCATCGAATCAAATCCCCTAGGGCTAGTTCCAAAGGGCCGGGAGGGACTGGGACCTGCACATCCTCAAATCTGCGACCAGAACTGGAGGTTTCAATGACCTTCAAAGGGACGCAATTGACTGCCTCTCCAAAGCAGTCACCGGGGACCGTCGCCCAGGACATCACTGGTTGGATGGATTGAAGAGCTCATTCTACAATTTCTAAAACTAAGTGACTACATCAAAGGAAAACATGCTCAACTGCACACGCTTGGGATAAATCCAACAGTGATGGGCTTGGGCCAACGAATTCCAGCGACGCTTGACCCTGGCAATGCGACCGATCAAGATGGGTTTGATACAAAGGAACTGGTGAGAGAAAACAGACTTCTGTGCAAGGACTTAAACCTCCAAGACATACATTGCTTTGGCTATCTTCAAAAACGCAAAACAGTCCAGAGTGGGCATGGGATTGCTCTGTCTTCATTGCTTGCCCAAACACCTGCTGAAAGGTTGCAAAAGGGCCGGCACGACATTTTCTGAAAACAATACTCAACTTGTGGCTTCTGCACTTGTCAAGCCAGTCGCCAAAAAAATGCAAACAAAATTCGGGAAGATCTTGGCATGGAATGCCAAATTTAACAATCCAGTTCTTCCAGCTGGCAGAAAACAACATTGTCTTTTCACTGAGTCCATGCACAGAGTCTTAACAAGTCTTAACAAATCTTAACAAGTCTTAACAAGTCTTAACAAGTCTTAACAAGTCTCAACAAGATGGAAGACTGGGCCATGTTTCATGAATGTTAGCAAAGTGAGCCGAGCTGCAACGATCAGTTCAAATGTGGAAATCGTTGCCCCTCCTGTTGGGCATCACCATCACTCTACTCGAGACTCAGAATCACTGTCACTAGCATCGATCTCGAATTGCCTGGAACAGCTGGGCGCAGAAGACACATTCTGTGTCTCTATCTATCTATCTATCCATCTATCTATCTATCTATCTATCTATCTATATATATATATATACATACAGTATATATATTGTCACTATTAACAGAGACATCCAGCATCCTCGGTTGCATTTTTCAACCAAATTCAGACAGACTCTGCATTATGTGGACAACATATGTCTCCACCACCATGTAGTCTCATTTTTGCCTCTTCCAAAGTACCAAGTTATCTGTCAAAGCAGCAATGCAAATGGTCTCACATGTCTCGCGTCTGAAAACACCAAAGCTTTGTGTAATTTTTTGTCCGTGGATATACACTGTAATCACACCATTTGAAGCAAGCGGAAATTGTTTGTGTCGGGTTCTCCTCGTGAGCATTTGATAAGCTCCGCGGAGCTTTTCAAAGGTCTTCTCTGCCTCGGCCCAAACTCGAAGGCATGATTTGAAAAAAAATAAGACACGGCAAAATAAGAAACAACAAAATAAAAAACGACAACAAAAACTGTTGATGCATCAACAACTGCTGTTTGAACCAAACCCCCACCACCTGCCATTGCCACACATGGAAACACTAACAACCACAACGACAGAGTCACCAGCGTGCGACCGTTAGAACCGTTACACACAGTGGTTGTGGCACGGACTCTGTCATGATCATCATCGGTGGCAGGTGCCAAATGAACCCATTGTATATTTTTCTGTGGTTGTTCTATAACGTTTTATATATATATATATATATATATTATGTTCAAGATGCGCCGCTCTCATTTTCGCCATGCACGATGGTTTTGCTCCCATGAATCAATCATGGACCATCAAAATCAAAACAGAATCCCTTGTTGGGAAAACTATGCCCATGGCAGGGCAAAACACCAACCTGAGGTTCATGGCAGAACCTTTAACACAAAAAGATCCAACGGCAGGATCTGAAATTTGCGTCATCTATTGGTTCTTCGCCTCTTTCCACGCACCCCAGCTGCATAGCAGTGATGCTCGTTGACGAAGATCGACGAAAACTGGGCGGAACTTTGCCGTCCAAGTAATACAAAGGCGCGGCAGCATAGCCAGCCCTTCACAAATGTACAAGCGAGCAACATTGGAGTTGTTCCAGCGCCCTCGAATGAGAGCGTGCTCCATCAATCCATGGGTTTGCATCTCGTAGGTGGCACCCCCTCTTCTCAAGCTATAAGGTCGCCAAGTCAAATTGCTGATATCCAGCTGCGTCAGAATTTTATTGAGCAGAGCACGGAAAGAAGATCCACTTCTTTGCCAGCAAGGAACATTCATGGCACCCATTTGTTGTTTCATAGCTGTCATAGCCAGAGTAGTTTCGATGGCGGACGGGTCATGAACTGAATCGTCACACTCTCCCGGCTATTGCTGCGAACCCCACTTTTACTGCTTGGGATTGAAAGTACCCCGTTGAAGGAGTCAAGCACAAAGTCGCAGGGCGAATCTGCAGGATCTCTCCCGTTCGCAGGAAGCAATGAAATCCCAGAAGTAGGAGCGCGGCCATGGTCAGCTCCTGATGTTCCAAGCACTTTCCAGCCATGGCAAGACAAATGCCTTGGGTGACAGGTTGGGCACGAAAAGGGATTTCATACTTGCGCCAAATCCCATACAGACTCCAACTTTTAGGAATCTTTTTCCCGAGAGCGCCTGCGAAGGGTTCTTCGTAAAAAGGCAGCCGTTGTAATACATCTTCACACCCTCACATCTGCTGATATACATCTTCACACCCGCACATCTGCTGATCTACATCTTCACACCCTCACATTTGCTGATCTACATCTTCACACCCTCACATCTGCTGATCTACATCTGCACACCCTCACATCTGCTGATCTACATCTTCACACCCTCACATCTGCTGATCTACATCTTCACACCCTCACATCTGCTGATCTACATCTTCACACCCTCACATCTAGAGATCTACATCTTCACACCCTCACACCTGCAGATCTACATCTTCACACCCTCACATCTGCAGATCTAGATCTTCACACCCTCACATCTGCTGATCTACATCTTCACACCCTCACACCTGCAGATCTACATCTTCACACCCTCACATCTGCAGATCTACATCTTCACACCTTCACATCTGCAGATATCCTCTCGCTCTTCTTTCTACAGTATCTCTCTCTTAAGGCGGGGACGGTGCCGCCGGAGCGCCACGAAACGCAACCTTTTCGCACGAAATGGACGTTGGACGTCAAAAACTGAAGTAAAATTGCGATTTAACTTGGTCCATCGCAACCCTTTCGCACGAAATGAACGTTGGACGTCAAAAACTGAAGTAAAATTGCGATTTAAGTTAGTACGTCGCAGCCCTTTCGCACGAAATGGACATTGGACGTCAAGAACATGAGGTAAAATTGCGATTTAACTTGGTCCATCGCAACCCTTTCGCACGAAATGGACCTTGGACGTCAAAAACTGAAGTAAAATTGCGATTTCACGGATCCGGGCTCTGTGTGTGAAAGTGTTTGTGTGTAGAAGCTTCTGTGTGTAAAAGCTTCTGTGTGTAAAAGGGTCTGTGTGTAAAAGCGTCTGTGTGTAAAAGCGTCTGTGTGTAAAGGAGTCTGTGTGTAAAAGCCTCTGTGTGTAAAAGCTTCTGTGTGTAAAAGCTTCTGTGTGTAAAAGCTTCTGTGTGTAAAAGCTTCTGTGTTTAAAAGCTTCTGTGTGTAAAAGCGTCTGTGCGTAAAATGGTCTG